ATCTGAGCACGGAATAATTTGGAGCAATTAATAGCACGATTTTTACCACCCATCATGATGAATAAAGTTGAACGAGACGTGAACATTCAATCAACTCCGAATGCAGTGTATATCATTACTCGAAGATGTAAAAAAATCAACGGTCGTCGTGATCCAGACATCACGACTAAATTAACTGATTTCCGATCGAAAGATCTGGGGAAGTTTCGAAGAATTAGGTAGGTCCAATACCTATATTGAATTTGTCATTAAGTATCCGATGTTGTTGTTTATGTATATTCGGGAATCTCAGGAGAAAGAATGACAAGAATTTCTTCAAGTTTATGAGGAAGTGTTATAGTGAATGGTTGGCCAATAAGGCAGCTTATAAACAATATGAATGGGGTAAGCTTACTCGTCCATATTTCACCGGGGATTTAAAAGCACCATATAGAAACAAAGCACGTTTTCCAAAAGACCCCAAGTAAAGGGATACAGTGGAGAGATGTGTCTTTCTTAGTTGCCAAATGTTGTAATTTACCATTCAGAAATAGGCAATCAACAGATGATTTAATCAACATAAATCCAAAGCCAGGTCAATTAGTTACCGAATTCAACCACAAAGGTCAAATTCATTAAACAAAATTAATCAACTTCCAGGGGAATAACCATTCATTTCACATTAAATCAACAAAATTCTGACAACGGGAATATTATTTCGTTTTATCAAATGGTATTGGGATATTATGGGTCAGAATCTGGAGAGATTGTTCACCAAAATACCCAATACCATGAAAACTGCACTTGAAGGTATTGATGAAGAAATTTGAGTCATTAGTTCGTAGAATGGGTAATCCTGGACGGAGAGACCCAGATTCAAAAGTGGAAAAGGCGTTCGAACGACAATTGACGACTTACAACCCGAAACCTGGAAATGATGGACGCTACTTGAACTTTTTGGAAAGCGTTTAGTGAATACGTTGATTGATGCCTCAACTATAATTACATCTGACGATGATTCAACAAATAAGGATATACTTTCACCTAAACCAGATATTTTCTAGAGCGTGGTGGGTCCATAACTAGAATCACAATCAAAATCGGAAACCAAATCGGAGAAATTCTCAAAGGAATTGAATAAAAACATTAATGCTGGCCAGATTGTCAAACCAAAGCTGGAAATGAGATATCAGGAACGTCCTACTTATTTGGCTGTCATTGAAGGAGGCATGTTTGACCTTTCTCTTGCTAGCCTGTTGATCTAACATTAAAGCATTCCGTTTTCACAAATAGACCTTTTGATGTTGGATTGATCTAACATTACTAAGATAGTAACCTGCATTGGTGTCGATCTTAATATGATACAATTAATTCCAGCTTCAAAACCAAGCAAGCAACAACAAACAAAATGTTCATTTTCGCCTAAACTGCAATTCTCGGTGATAAGCTTACCAACTTCGAAGGTTTTGTGTTGCTTCTAACAAGTTGTGGCTAATTACCAGCAATCATTCATTTTGTGTTTTTGCAACCATTGAAAAAATATATTCACTAGCGACAAAATTCTGCATTAAAAAATCAGCGGAAATATGACATGCGTTGCGTCTCATGCATGCAAATGCAGTTTATCCTGATAAAAAGGGGGTCTTTCTGAGTAGGTTATCAAGTAGATTTTCAATCAAATTTTATACTCTAAACTCCAAGCCTTCGCATATTGGAGTTCAGTATCATTGTTTTTGTGATATATGTCCTTCTCTTCAAACAGAGGGAATGGATCTTCGTGAGACCAAACGTGACGTACGCCGAAGTTGCAGCAAATAATTCTGAAAATTCAGCATATTCAGAAAATCCAGAAAATTCGGATAAAAAAGACAACAACCCAAACCCTACAAGACCGACGACATTAGTACAAACGTAGGCTGCATTATATAGCCTTTGGATTAAAGCAAGCACAACTATGCTGGAATATCACAATCAACGATTTATTGATCAACAATGATTAGAACAGATTAACTGGTGAACTTGGTCTATACTCAAATGGTAAGGTTTATATTGGTCTATATGTGGATGATTTACTCATAGCAGGTAGCCTGATTGAAGACATTAATAAGGCCAAGTCTCTCCTCAAGCTGAAGTTTCAAATGAAGGATCTTGGTCTAGCAAAGAAATTTTTGGGAATGAATATACAACATAAACCGAGATTATATTGGCAAGATGGTATTGCAATTTGAAAAACAACAAAGTGTCAAACTCAATCACTCAAATGTTCCTGCAAGTCCAAATGATAGTTTCGGTCCAATTAATGAACAGGTTGTCTCACGTGATGCTTCGAGTTATAGATCACTAGTTGGTAAGCTACTATTTGTTGCTAATACTGTAGGTTTGATATCTCTTATATTATTGGTGTCCTTAGACGGTATTTTAAAGAACCAGATGTGAGACATCTGCTCAAAGGGTGTTGAAATATCTCAAAGGTACCAAAGGCTATGGTTTGGTTTACCAGAGGGAGGAAGAACTTGAGGTTCATAGTGATGCTAATTGGGGAATTACTTCTGATTTTATTTCTAATCCTCAATCGCAAAAATGGCTTACTAAACTTACCAACTTCCGGATTTCCTTTTTCTGGATTTTCTGAATTTGCAGCAACTTGAGCATACGCCACTTTCGATTCAAGAAGACACATTCTTTGTTCGCCATAAATAATCCCCTTCATATAGAAATGCTACTGTCTTCAATTTCAGCCCCAATCAAATACAGTAGACTTCCTGAAACATTTTAAGGAGTATTATCAACTTGACAAACTACCAACAAAGGCTTCCTGTCGGAATTTCAACGAAATTCGAATTCAAGATGTAAAAAACCTGGATGAAATCTGTTATTCGACTTTGGCTTAAGGAGTAGCCAGCTGTGTTGCCCCACAACAGGTTCTATTAAAGATTACCTCACGGTTTTCCTCAATGATACCACAGATGATGTTAACATTTTCTGGAAATTATTTAGTGAATATGAAACTGTTTCAAATGCAAAAGCTGTTTCCATTACAACAGGGAACCCGTGGGGTAATCCAGTTTCTCCTTTACTTTTTAATATTTGTCTAGAACCATTGTTATATTATTTACTGCAACATCTTCGAGGTTATCCTAACTCATCACTACCAATATTTAAGGATGTGCAATTACTATCTTATGCGGACGATCTTACAGCTTTTCTCAATGACACTACCGATGACATTGAAATTTTTTGGAAATTACTTAGTGATTATGAAACTGTCTCCAATGCTGAACTTAATGTGGATAAAACTATGGACTACAGTCTTTCACGGGATCTTATTAGACTATCATTTCCACGTAAAACTATTGGAGTGGATCACCTTCGTTATTTGGTGGTCGATAAATCATTCTCGTGGAAAGCGTTTACTAATTCAATCCTTAAAGGCTTGTGGAGTACCGAGTTAATTGAGGCCTCATAAATCTACGGGCTTTTGGATTCAATACTTACATTTTCTCCAAACTATACTTCAGAGATATTCACTGTGCAATGACAAGTAGTAAAATTAAGTATTTGAAACCATGAATCAAGGCCCTTTTTAAAGGAATTAGATATACTAGCTTAACAGCCCTTGAGGTGGTCTAGGGCAGCAACTTAAAGGTCGCAGGGGCAAATATATGTCGGAGTCTTTGTCAAATGTTACTAATTGGAATTTCCTTGCATTCAGATCTAAACTACAACAGTCTGTTAATGAACAGTCGGATTCCTATAATAATAGTTCCATTCGTATTCTCGCTATTCCATGGTATGCTTTTCTGATTCGGTTGACAATTAACTACAAAGGTCAAGATC